TCCATTCCATCTTTTTGGTTAATATCTCTTCTTTTGCTTTAAGCCTTTTAATTTGTGAGCTACGAAAGCTCACAAACTTTGTATTATGGAGATTACTTAGAAAGGGTGAGGTTATTTTCTTCTACCAACATGTGATAGATATACAATAGTCTCACAGGGAGATCTTGAATCTGCTTGGAGCAACTAGCTGCTCATTTCTCTCTCCCATTCCATCTTTTTTTTCCTTCAGAAGGACTTTTCTGTGGCTGGGATTGGCAAACATTACCTTAAATACAGTAGATGTCCTTGAATTAATCACAGATCTCTGTTCTCTTCCAGATGAGCTTCCTGTGGATTTATTCTTCATGCTACCTGATTGTCCAACAATTTCCTGGATACAGACAATTAAAATATTATTTGAAATTACTTCCTTTTATTCAGTCCTGGAATATGTATTGTGAAGCTGGACCTAATAAAGAGGGAATGGTTTGAACTGAATTGTAGTCCTTGTGGCCTGTGATTGAAATTAAAAATCAAGTGTAATGTTAGTTTGTGGGATAATAATAATAATAATAATAATAATCCTTTATTTGTACCCCGCTACCATCTCCCGAAGGACTCAGTGCGGCTTACAAGAGGCCGAGCCCTAATACAACAACAAAAACAGCAGCAGCAACAACAACATAATAACTCAAAAAACAAAAAAACAAAGCCATAACATTAACAACATCTAATGACGCAATTAAAAACCATGGCCGGGCCAAATGTAATAATTAAAATTAAAAAGTGCTGGGCATGACATGGTGGGGTGTTTGAAGGGGGATGGGCATGCAGATATCCTGGATCTCTGATAAAGTGCGTTGGGACGTAATGCTAGGAGTTTCCTTATTCTAGAAAGGCACACTGGAACAACCACGTTTTCAAGCTCCTCCTAAAGATTGCTAGCGACGGGGCCTGCCTGATGTCCTTAGGGAGAGAGTTTGAGTCGAGGGGCCACCACCGAGAAAGCCCTATCCCTCGTCCCCACCAATCGAGCTTGCGATGCAGGTGGGATTGTGAGCAGGGCCTCTCCAGATGAACGAAGAGATCGTGTGGGTTCGTACACAGAGATGCGGTCACGCAGGTAGGCGGGTCCCAAACCGTTTAGGATGAGCATAACTCAAAAACCACTGGACGAATTGAGATCAAATTTGGACACAAGACACCTGTCAGGCCAGTGAGTGACCATCACTCATAAAAACACTGAAAAACACAGCAGAAGAGACTTTAAAAGCCAAAAGAAAATTACAACGCATGCACAAAACCACACATATATATGCAAACACACATATATACACATATAAACGAATTTGTTGTTGTTCATTCGTTCAGTCGTCTCCGACTCTTTGTGACCTCATGGACCAGCCCACGCCAGAGCTCCCTGTTGGCCGTCACCACCCCCAGCTCCTTCAAGGTCAAGCCAGTCACTTCAAGGATGCCATCCATCCATCTTGCCCTTGGTTGGCCCCTCTTCCTTTTGCCTTCCACTTTCCCCAGCATAATTGTCTTCTCTAGGCTTTGCTGTCTCCTCATGATGTGGCCAAAGTACTTCAGCTTTGTCTCTAGTATCCTTCCCTCCAATGAGCAGCCGGGCTTTATTTCCTGGAGGATGGACTGGTTGGATCTTCTCGCAGTCCAAGGCACTCTCAGAACTTTCCTCCAACACCACAGCTCAAAAGCATCGATCTTCCTTCGCTCAGCCTTCCCTAAGGTCCAGCTCTCACATCCGTAGGTGACTACAGGGAATACCATGGCTTTGACTAGGCGGATCTTTGTTGCCAGTCTGCTGTCTCTACTCTTTACTATTTTATCGAGACTGGACATTGCTCTCCTCCCAAGAAGTAAGCGTCTTCTGATTTCCTGGCCACAGTCTGCATCTGCAGTAATCTTTGCGCCTAGAAATACAAAGTCTGTCACGGCCTCCACATTTTCTCCCTCTATTTTCCAGTTGTCAGTCATTCTTGTTGCCATAATCTTGGTTTTTTTGATGTTTAGCTGCAACCCAGCTTTTGCGCTTTCTTCTTTCACCTTGATTAGAAGGCTCCTCAGCTCCTCCTCGCTTTCGGCCATCAGAGTGGTGTCATCTGCATATCTGAGGTTGTTAATATTTCTTCCAGCAATTTTCACCCCAGCTTTGCATTCATCCAGCCCCGCATTCATCCAGCCTCGCATGATGTGTTCTGCATACAAGTTAAAAAGGTTGGGTGAGAGTATGCAGCCTTGCCGTACGCCTTTCCCAATCTTGAACCAGTCTGTTGTTCCGTGGTCAGTTCTTACTGTTGCGACTTGGTCCTTGTACAGATTCCTCAGGAGAGAGACAAGGTGGCTTGGGATGCCCATCCCACCAAGAACTTGCCACAACTTATTATGATCCACACAGTCAAAGGCTTTAGAATAGTCAATGAAGCAGAAGTAGATGTTTTTCTGAAACTCCCTGCCTTTCTCCATTATCCAGCGGATATTGGCAATCTGGTCTCTCGTTCCCCTGCCTTTTCTAAACAGCTTGAACATCTGGCAACTCTCGCTCTATGTATTGCTGGAGTCTTCCTTGCAGGATATACACACATATACATATAAACACACACAAAACTCATATTCACAGACTGGGCCACAGCAAAGCAGGGGATGGCTAGTATACACATCTGAATAGCATCTGAATAGCCAGGGCAATGAAACACCACCGAGCCCAAGACCTCCTGAATCCTAGAACGTCACAACCGGCTCCTCTTCCTGTTGCGGAAAGAAGAAATACTGCCTTTCCAATGGGGTCCCACATAGCCAATAGGAGTTGACGCTCGTGACTAGCCAATCGGAGAGAGTGTGAGAACCTTCAATTTTTTTCGAGTCAGTGAGAAGCTCCTCCTTATTGGTTGAAACGTGCGATGACGTTTGGAGCGGGGGCGTGGCTTCGAAGGAGGCGACTTTCCTCAGAGAGGCGGCCATGGCGACGGGGGATGGAGGCGAGAAGGAGGCGCCCTCGAAATGGAGGGACCCCGCAGGCCCTGGGGCGCCGGCCCGGGCGAAAAGCGACCCGGTGAGGCCTTTGGACGGGAAGGCAGGGCCTGTGGGATTAGGGGAAGCCGGGAGAATGGACTTTTTCGTGGACTACAGCTCCCAGAATCCCCCCAAACAGCCTTGTTATAGGCTGGAACAGGCCTGGGCCTACTTGGGCCCCCCAGGTGTTTTGGACTCCAACTCCCACAAATCCTAACAGCCTCAGGCCCCTTCCTTTTCCCCCTCAGCCGCTTATGCCTGAACAAAAATGCAACAGTATCCAAAGGTTCCTGGCTCAGCCATCACCCTGTGCTTTGCCCGACCAATCAGCTTCATGCATCTTATTTTGCGGTTGACACACACTGAGCTCCCGGTGGCACATCCTGGTGCACTTTCGAGGAGGACAGACCATGGATAATGGGACTTCAAGTACCTCCACTCCCTTCCCAAGACTGCTGCAACCCTCAGCTAATGTCCGATCAAGACCAAACTTGGCACACAGAGCCCCTTGACCCACTCTACATCCCGATGCTGTTTGGAGAAGGAGGGACAATGGATGATGGGACTTCCAGTGTAGTTCAGGGCAGGATGGGGCACTAATGATGGGATTTGCAGTACCTTCACCCGATTCACTTCCCACAGAACATTGTAGCCCCTACAAATCACAGACCAGGCCCAAACTTGGCACACAGAGTACTCATGGCCCACTCTACATCCTGATGCAGTTCTAAGGGGGATGGACCATGGATGATGGGACTTGCAGTACCTTCACTCACTTACTGAAACCACGGCAACCCTCATCAACATCGTTCAGATCATTTAAAAGCTAGGAAAGATCAAAATAGATCTGCTTGTAGTATTGTTTTATTTTTTTAATTATTTAATGTGTTTATTACAGCAGCTGTTAAAATTATAGTCCTACTTTATAATATAATACTACTACTAATAATATAATTATATATAGTTATATTATATGTGGGAGCTCCCGGTGGCACAGTTGGTTAAAGCGCTGAGCTGCTGAGCTTGTTGACCGAAAGGTCGCAGGTTCGATTCCGGGGAGTGGCATGAGCTTCCGCTGTCAGTCCTAGCTTCTGCCAACCTAGCAGTTCGAAAACATGCAGATGTGAGTAGATCAATAAGTACCGCTCCGGCTGGCCACATGACCTTGGAGGAGGTGTCTACGGACAACGCTGGCTCTTCAGCTTAGAAATGGAGATGAACAGCACCCCCAGAGTCAGACATGACTGGACTTAATGTCAGGGGACAGCCTTTACTTTTTATATTACATGTAATATTACTAGTAATATTACAATATAATGGTATAGTACAATATAGTAATATATAATACTGATATTGTACTATGCTAATAATATAACGTATTGTACGTATATATATCTTGAGTCCCATTCAGGGTGAGAAGTGCACCAACTGTCACTCTGGGCCACAGTGAAGAGAGGGGAGGCCAAGGGACAGTTTCATCTTGTCTCCTGGATATGCCATCAGCTGAAGACACTTCTCCCCAACACCAACTGTTGCTCTGGGCCAGAGTAAAGAGAGAGGGAGCCAGGGGACATTTCCACCTTGTCTCCTGTGCTATTCTAATAATATAATATATTTATAATATTATAATGTAATGCTATATAAGAATACTAACAATATGATATTATAATTATATATTTATATTACATGTAATATTACTAATAATATTACAATATACTGGTATGGTGCAGTATAGCAATGTTTAATGTTGATAGTGTACTATTAATAATATAATATATTGTATGTAATATATACCTTATAAGCTGCTCTGAGTTCCCTTCGGGGTGAGAAGGGTGGCATATAAATGTCATAAATAAAAAAAATGTAAAGAAATAAATGCTTTCACTCCCAGCAGGGGCAATGGGACAAGAAGAGGATGAGCAGGGAATTGCCAGTGGAGAAAAGGGGACCCTACATCATGAGCAAAACGCCTTCCATTCAGGACAAACTGCGTAAGTCAGTACCACAAGACTTGCATGTTATCTCTTTGTAATTAAGTTGGAAAGGTTCCCCTCTTAATAAACAAAGTAAGCCAGAGAGATAGCAGACTCTGTACGTGTTGTTCTTGGCAAAGTTTTTGTATTACAGCTCCCCAAATTCCCTAATTTTGCTCCTCCAAAAGAAACATTTCCATATTCTGAGTCCCTCGAACAATAGCTTGAACCAAGCATAACTTGACGATGATGATTCAGCCCTTGTTTGCTTCTGATCTGTCTATAATATATTAGGAAGGTGTTTCTCAACCTTTCTAATGCCATGACCCCTTAATACACTTCCTCATAAAATTGGGGATCACCATAATTTTTGCTACTTCATAACTGTAATTTTTCTACTGTTATGAACAGTAATGTAAATATCTGATATGCAGGATGGATTATCCTTCACTGGACCAAATATGGCACAAATACCCAATGATATGCCCAAATTTGAATACTGGTTCTGGTTTTTTCATTTAAGAGTTGTAGTTGCGAGAGTTATAGTTAACCTCCCAAACAAAGAGCATTCTGAACTCCACCAACGATGGAATTGACCGAACTTGGCACGCAGGATTCCCATGACCAACAGAAAATACTGGAAGGTTTTAGTGGGCATTGACCTTAAGTTTGGGAGTTGTACACCTATATCCAGAGAGCACTATGGACACAAATAATGAGGGATCTGGACCAAAATTGGCATGAATACTCAATATGCCCAAATGTGAACACTGGTGGAGTTTGGGGAAAATAGAAACTTGACATTTGGGAGTTGTAGTTGCTGGGATTTATAGTTCAGCTACAATCGAAGAGCATTCTGAACCCCACCACCGATGGAATTAAACCAAACTTGGCACACAGAACTCCCAAGACCAACAGAAAATACCGGAAGGGTTTGGTGGGCACTGACCTTAAGTTTTAGAGTTATAGGTTACCTACATCCAGACTCAAACAATGATGGATCTGGACCAAACTTGGCATGAATCCTCAGTATGCCCAAAGTGAACACTGGTGGAGTTTGGGGAAAATAGAGCTTGATCTGGGAATTGTGGTTGCTGGGATTTGTAGTTCACCTAGAATCAAAGACCATTCTGAACCCCACCAATGATAGAACTGGGCCAAACCTCCCACAAAGAACCCCCATGCCTTGAAGGGACTTGCTGATGTGAGCCTCCCTCCAGCCTTGCATGCTCTCCCTGGCCCCGCACATATACATCACGCTGCCATGCGCCGAGCATGCCTGCTCTCCCCTCCCTGCTTGGGAGTCTCAGAAACAGCCCTCCCCTTGGCTGAGAGGCTGGCCAATCACAGTGCAGGGGGTTTTTGGTGGGAGGATTCGCCGTCAGTTTCCAAAAAGGAAGAGAAGGAAGGTGGAGACACCTTCAGCCTTCTCTGTCAAAGATGTTCCTAAAATCATCAGAAATATATGATGGTCTTCGGCAACCCCTCTGCAACCTCCTTGGGACCTCCCCCAGGTGTCCTGACCCCCACATTGAAAAACGCTGGTCTGTAAATTCTCTTCTGATCACAAGTATAATACCTGAAATTCGTCATTGGGAGAAAATGGTTATTCATATATTCAAGTACAGATATACTCAGATTTACTTTTCAAAGTACTTTACTCATCAAAGTATAACTATGTTCCTGTGCCTAACGTTACTTATCCAAGTAAATGCCTTCCTCAACCTTACATTGAAATTTTGAGACTAAAGGTAGGAATTTAGATCAGGGGTCCTCAAACTTCTTAAACAGAGGGCCAGGTCACAATCCCTCAAACTGCTAGAGTGTCAGATTATAATTTGAAAAAAAAATACAAATGAATTCCTATGCACACTGCACATATCTTATTTGTAGTTCAAAAACCACTTAAAAACAATACAATAATTAAATTGAAGAACAATTTTAACAAATTTAAACTTATTAGTATTTCAATGGGAAGTGTGGGCGTGCTTTTGGCTGATGAGATAGGATTGTTGTTGTTGTGTGCTTTCAAGTCGTTTCAGACTTAGGTTGACCCAGAGCGAGGGCCGGGTAAATGACTTTGGAGGGCCGTATCTGGGCCTTAGTTTGAGGACCCCTGATTTAGATCATGATGTAAATCATTTTGAATTTTAAGTAATATCATCCTTATTTCTCAGTGACTTTTTTGTTTCCATTTTGTATTTTCCCTTTGGTTTTCAGAGAAACATCGCGAGATGGCCAAGGCAATGCTGAGGAGGAAGGGAGTGCTTTCGGGAGCCGTACGGCACCAACCTCAGTCGACAGCCAAAAGGTCCATGCCATTTTCTCTTATATAGAGAGCCCCCAAGTTGCAAACAAGATAGGCTCTATAGGTTTGGTCTTAAGTTGGATATGTTTGTAAGTCAGAACAAGCACATGATTACGTGCAGCTCCAATGAAATATATATGCATATATTAGATTTGAATAGCATAGGGAAGGGTTGACATTTGTGATTTAGAATCATAGAATCCTAGAGTTGGAAGAGATCTGGTGGGCCATCATCCAGTCCAACCCCATTCTGCTAAGAAGCAGGAAAATTGCATTCAAAGCACCCCCGACAGATGGCCATCCAGCCTCTACTTCAAAGCCTCCAAGGAAAGAGCCTCCACCACACTCTGAGGCAGAGAGTTCCATTGCTGAATGGCTCTCACAGTCAGGAAGTTCTTCCTAAAGTTCAGGTGGAATCTCCTTTCCTGTAATTTGAAGTCATTGTTTCCTTGTGTTCTAGTCTCTCTCCAGGGCAGCAGAAAACAAGCTTGCTCCCTCCTCCTTAGGACTTCCCTTCACTTCTTTATCCCTGGTCCTCATCATGTCTCCTCTCACCCTTCTCTTCTTCAGGCTAAATATGCCCAGCTCTTTAAGCCACTCCTCATAGGGCTTATTCTCCAGTCCCTTGATCATTTGAGTCACCCTCCTCTGGACACATTCCAGCTTGTCAATATCTCTCTTCAATTGTGGTGCCCAGAATTGGACACAGTATTCATTTTATTTATTTATTTTGCTGTCTGTGCCTGTCTTCAGAAAATTTCATCTCACTTTCTGTCCCTGTGAGTATTGAATTTTGAAAATTTTGGCTTATTGTGGAAACAAGGATTGGGGAGAAAGCTTCAGCGGAGACATTTTCCCCCCATGATAACTCTTTCTGGAGTGAATTTCCCTTCCGAGGGGTAGATTCCTCTCACTTCCTGTTGTCTCACCCTCATTTTTAACTATGAGTCGATGTTTGTAACTCGGGGACTACCTGTAATTGAATGGGGATTATTGCATTTCAGGGTTACCAGGCAGAATCGAGTGTCTCAAAAACTTGATCCCTGTCTCAGGCAGGTGAGAGATTAAGGAACCGTGCCGGTAAGCTTCATCTTGTGTTGTATCTCTTTTGTTCCCTAGGTCAGTGAAGTTTAACAAAGGCTATGCTGCTCTCAGCCAGACTGCAGATGAAACTCTGGTCTCACTGGATTCGGATAGGTGAGGAGTGACTAGAACCTGCTTGATGCACCTGAGCACAAGAAACCAAGAAGGCTGAATATTTGCCATCAACTTAAATGGACTTCAGGGAGATTTATTTCAGGGATATTTATTTCATTGATGGCACTTATGTTTTATTTTCCAGCAGCTGAGGATGGGATCTATTGTTTCATCTGCTTCCTTGCAGAGTCTACATTTGGGGTTATTAAGAGTACAGTCCTTTTAAAGGACAGTTCCTGGTCTGAAGCTTACTGCTTATAAACAAAAATGGACTAAGGGTTGAGAAAGGAAAGAGGAAAACAAGAGAATTAAGACACCCATGTAATTTAACATGTGCTTGTTTTAATATGTAGTTTTATGGTCGTATTTTAACATGTTTTAATGCTTCAAGCTGCTTCTTGGGAGCGTGCTTGCTCTAGCAATGTTCAACATTTACACAAATGACCAGCCACTGTCAGAAGGGACAGAGAGTTTCATCTATGCTGATGATCGTGCCATTACTGCTCAAGCAGGGAGCTTTGAGATGGTTGAACAGAAGCTCTCCGAAGCTCTAGGTGCTCTTACTGCCCATTACAGGGAAAACCAGCTGATCCCTAATCCATCTAAAGCACAGACATGTGCTTTTCACCTCAAGAGCAGACAAGCACCACGAGCTCTGAGCGTGACCTGGGAAGGAATCCTACGGGAGCATTGCAGCACACCCAAATCCCTGGGAGTCACTCTGGACCGTGCTCTGACCTACAAGAAGCACTGCCTGAATATCAAGCAAAAAGTGGGTGCTAGAAACAATATCATACGAAAGCTGACTGGCACAACCTGGGGATCACAACCAGACACAGTGAAGACATCTGCCCTTGTGCTATGCTACTCTGCTGCTGAGTATGCATGCCCAGTGTGGAACACATCCCACCACGCTAAAACAGTAGATGTGGCTCTTAATGAGACATACCGCATTATCACAGGGTGTCAGCACCCTACACCACTGGAGAAATTACACTGTTTAGCTGGTATTGCACCACCTGACATCCACTGGGAAGTAACAGCCAGCAATGAAAGGACCAAGGCAGTGACATCTCTGGCCCATCCTCAAAGACTTAAATCAAGAAATAGCTTCCTAAGATCAACAGAGATACTCACAGGAATGCCTCAGCAAGTGAGAGTCCCAAAGTGGCAGACTCCCCAGTCTGTGGAACTCTCTCCCTAAGGACATCAGATTGGCCACCTCCCTCCTGTCCTTTAGAAGACAACTGATGACCTAGCTCTGGGGCCAGGCATTTGACTAGATGATAGTGACAATAGGAAAAGGAACTCTGGGTTTGCGATATTGGATTCCCGGCTTGATTTTTGGTTTTAGTGGCATGCTAATATTATTGTTAAATGAATTTATTTGTTGATTTGTACAATGTTTTAAAAGTTTTTACTGTTTTATTATTATTATTTTATTATTATTAAACTTTATTTGTACCCCGCTAGCATCTCCCAGAGGATTCGATGCGGCTTACACAGGCCGAGGCCTCAACAACACAACATAACAATACAATCAAGCAAATCAAACAATTAAAACAAAATAAGCAAAGTAAACAACAGACACAGTACATTAAAACACAATAAAACTGGGCCGGGCCAAAAGGTGGGTACAAGGATTAAAAGTGCTGATTTGACAGGAGGTGTATAAAGGGTTTCTAGGGCAAGTGCGATGTGCGGTGTGCAGCAATCATTGGTTCTGGTAAAGTGCTTGTGGGACTCGGTAGTGGAGATTTCCTAATCTGGGAAGGCGCATCAGAAAAGCCAGGTTTTTAAGTTCTCTCTGAAGATAGCCAATGAAGGGGCCTGTCTAAGGTCTTTGGGGAGGGTGTTCCAGAGTTGGGGGGCCACTAAGGAAAAGGCCCTGTCCCGCGTCCCCACCAAGCGCGCTTGCGACGCCGGTGGGATCACGAGCAGGGCCTCTCCAGATGACCGAAGAGAGCGCGTGGGTTCGTAGATAGATATGCGGTCACGCAGGTAGGCTGCGTGTTAGCTGTTATTCTTGTGATGTATATGTTGTGAGCATCGCTGATGCCTATGTGAGGCCGCCCTGAGTCCCCCTCGTGGGGAGAAGGGTGGGATAGAAGCGTATGAAATAAATAAATACATAAACATTTTAAAAAAAATGTTATAATTGTACTCTAGCTTCTGATTTGATGAATAAATAAAATATATACGTTTATTGAGATCTTTGACAATGTTGCCTCAAGCCGAAAGGAGAGGTGGGTAATAATAAATTGTTGTTGTTGTTGTTGTTATTTTGAACATGATCCCATTTGTGAATGATCAAATGTAATGCAGCAGCAATAGTATAATGGACATTGTTGGTCATAACAGGAGAAATAATGCCACCCTTGCTTTGTTTCTCTCCTTTTATCCTCTCCTGACTCTTGCTTCTTCTTTTCCTAGTGACGGGGAGTTGGAATCACGATGCTCTTCTGGTTACTCGTCTGCAGAGGTAAGTCTGTTATCTCTCTGGTTATTACATCTATTTATTTCCACAGATCTTTGGGTGCCAAATGTGTTCTGGTTCCTGGGGTTTGCATTCTGGTGGGAGGGGGAGGAAAGGGCTGTCAGAAATATTAAAAATTAACTTGGCATTTTTAATTACAAAAATGTGAGTCAAGCACTGAAAGGGTTAAATGGATGCAATGACTCAGCAAAAGCTGCGCCCGTACCTCATTAAATCCGATCCAGCCATGGTGGTCCATACCCTAATCACCTCTAGGTTGGATTACTGCAACGCACTCTACGTGGGGTTGCCCTTGAAGATGGCCTGGAAACTACAGTTGGTCCAAAGATCTGCGGCCAGACTACTTACGGGAGTTGGTTACAGGGAGCGGTCTACCCCCCTGTTTAAACAGCTCCACTGGCTTCCAATAAGTTTCCGGTCCCAATTCAAGGTGCAGGTCATCACCTATAAAGCCCTAAACTGTGCGGGACCTTTTTATCTCCATGATTGCATCTTCTCCTATGAACCAGTGCGTACCTTGAGATCATCTGGGGGGCACTGCTCTCTCTCCCTCCGCCATCTCAAGCACGGTTGGTGGGGACGAGGGAGAGGGCCTTCTCGGTGGTGCCCCCGGCTCTGGAACTCCCTTGGGAGATCAGACAGGCTCCCACTTTGTCCTCTTTCCAGAGACAACTAAAAACCTGGATGTTCCAGTGTACTTTTGATTAAGCAGTCCACCAGTAATTTTCCTCTCCCTACTTTACATCATCCCTCTTATTGTCTACCTCAACACTTTTGATGACACGATTCCCAGCCCTGCCTAGTTGATTGTTGCACTTTCCTTGCGTTCCCTTCGGAATGTATTGCACTCAGTGAGCCTGTACCTCAGCTATGTACTTTTTTTCAGCCATATTGTTTTGATGTTGTTTACAATGGTGATTGTTTTTATATCTTTATATCTGATGTTTTTAATTGGTCGTGTTTTATTTGCGATTTTGGGCTTGTCCCTTGTAAGCCGCCCTGAGTCTCCTAGGGGAAATGGTTGGCGGGGTATAAAAATAAAGTTGCTGTTATTATTATTATTATTATTATTATTATTATTATTATTATTATTACTATTATTATTAAGCTGGAGTTCAATATAAGTAGGTGTGCCTGTAGCTTGGTATGAAGAGGCTTCAGTATGAGAGAAGCCTCAGTATGAGAAGGCTCCAGTGTTAGTTTGCCTCAGTACGAGAATGCCTCAGTGTTAGTCGGGTTCAGTATGAAGAGGCTTCAGTATGAGAAGGCTCCAGTGTTAGTTTACCTCAGTATGAGAACGCTTCAGTGTTAGTAGGTCTCAGTGTGAGGTAGGCCTCAGTATGTGAGAGGCCTGGTGTGAGAAGGCTTCAGTGAGAGAAGCCCCAGGTTTAAGGCCTCATGTGTAAAGCTCTAGTGTGAAGGCCGCTGTGTGTAAAAGGCTATTGTGTGAAGCTCCTGAGGAAGCTCAGTGAGATAAAGCTGTTTTACCTGCATGAGAAAGAAGCCCAGGGTGGAAGCAAAGAAAGAAATATAACGAGTGAAAACCTGGCTCTTTGAGCAAACGTTTGGAACTGCAGCGTAACTAGTTAACACAAAATCGTAATATGAACATGGAACGGTTTAGACTATGTAAATGGACGAGGAATTTGGACTGGTAGACTTTGTTTTTTTATTGATTTTTTTATAGTTTTTAATGGATTTTATATGTATTTATGGTGTGTTTTAATTGTCTTTATTGATATATGTATTTCTATATGGCATCTAATAGTTGCCGATCTGTATGCCGCCCTGAGTTGCCTTCGTGCTGAAATGGGCGGGATAAGGATGTCGTAAATAAATAAATATAAAGAACTGTATTTGTGTTATGAAAACCTTGTTCTTGTAAATAGTGCAACCATATTATTTTGGTGTAAAGAAAAGTCTCTTATGGAAGATATATCATTGGTTTGTGTGTTTTTGTTCTATCATTTTGGGCTCCTGGTGCTGGGTCACGCTGCTGCTAAGACGTTCCTCTTCTGTACATTTATGAGGAGGGTCTTTTGTTAATAAGCCCTCTTGCCCAACAAGGGCGACCACTGGCCTTTGATTCAAGGACTCCCTCTTTCCTTTTGCAGGTCAACCAGGATCTCAGCCGGCAGCTGCTCCAGGACGGGTACCACCTCGATGAAATCCCCGATGACGAGGACCTCGACCTCATCCCTCCAAAGCCCATTTCGTCCTCGCCTTGCGCCTGTTGCTTTGGGGAGTCTTCCTCCTGCTCCATCCAGTAAAAGGCGGTCTTGGGAGGGATGCCCTGCACAGGTCAAGATAGCAGCACTTTTTCTTTCTTTTGGGGAGTGTGGATGGCAGGCAATGGACGCCAGCCCAGCCCTGACTGAGACCGACAGGGAGATGGAAAAAAGGGATTTGGTAACTGGGAGGACCAGGCATCCCTTTGCACTGTTGGCACCTGCTCAGGGGGCCGAATGTTCTTTCGGGGCTCTTTTCAGTGGTGCAATATAGAGCGCTATTAGGTGCAAGTACTCAGGAGGCAGAGGGCCAGCACATGAACTTGTGGAACGGGGCCGGGCAATGGAGGAAAGAGTTATCTTCCCTAAAGGTCAAGTGCCCAGGCTCTGGTGTCAAAGTAAAGGATGGCAAGTGACGAGTCTGGCCTACAAACAAAAATAAAGCTGCAACACTAAGGTCTGAACAAAGGGGATCTTCCTAGTCTCTCCTCAGGATCCTTTCCTTTAGTGCCTGGACTGGACTTTCTCTTAGGATGGCAAAATCCTTGCCGGGAAGGCATCTTGGGTGTTACTCACTCATCAGAGAGGATTTCTGGAGTCTGAAGCAGCGTGATCCATCATTTCCTTGCGGCCAGATACCTTTTGGACGCCCATTGCTATCTCGGTAGCCGAAATGGTTGCTCTTGAGTTCCTTCAAGCTTCAGCACAACTTGGGCATTCATTTACACAAACTGCTGCTCGATCCTGAGGAGTCATTCAGGTTTGGGTTTCACGAATGGGGAAACTTGGGAGTTGAATGTGTAGGTTCTGAAATGAGTGGAGAGGCCAAGTCTAATCTCTTTCCTTGGAGATGGCACCTCTTGACAGGCTGAGGACTCTTCAGGGAAGTTCCTGGGTTCGTTGTGAAGGAAGACGACAAATGGCATATTGTTGAGGGTTGAAGTTGTTTCCTTTGTTGGGAACTTGTGCTTGTTCAAACAAGAGGCCCACCAGACCTTGGTTCTAGAACTGTGTTATCAGCTGCTTGGATCTTCTGGAAAGGTCTAACTCTTGACTTAAAGGTGCTGTTTGTCTTTACCCATTTTTCCACACTTTTAAAATCTGCAGGAAATCCTGCCCCTGCGGATTTCAGGAAGCTTAGAAAAGTGTGGCAACTGTCCATTTTCCAGGTATACTCGCCTGGTTGCAAGTTGCATCCCATTCATACCCGAGAGGCTGGAGAAGTGTAGCCTTTGTGGCTGGATAGGAAGGTTTGAGAGTGAGTGGCACAATGGGAAAGGGCACAACCATCCAACATATTGTGTGGACGGTTTTGCAACTGAGGAGTCCAGCATCGCAACACAGCTACATTTGTGTGATTTTGCAGCATGCAGATATGGAATAGGCTTATGGAAGTGTAGCAACTCTATTTTCCAGGTATACTCACCTGGTAGCAAGTTGTGTCCTATCCAGAGTTGTAAGGTCCTGAGAGGCCGGAGAAGTGTAGCCTTTGTGGCTGGGTAGGGTGTGAGAGTGAGTGCCACAATGGGAAAGGGCACAACCATCCAACATATTGTGTGGATGGTTTTGCAACTGAGGAGTCCAGCATCGCAACACAGCTACATTCATGTGATTTTGCGGCGTGCAGCTATGGAATAGGCTTCCATAAGTGTGGCAACTATCTTTTTTCCAGGTATACTCACCTGGTAGCAAGTTGCATCCTATCCAGAGTTATAAGAACCTGAGAGGCTGGATAAGCGTAGCCTTTGTGGCTGGGTAGGATGTGAGAGTGAGTGATACACTGGGAAAGGGCACAACCATCCAACATATTGTGCAGACGGTTTTGCAAGTACGGAGTCCGGGCTCACAATATAGTTACATTTGTGTGATTTTGCAGCATGCAACTTTGGAATAGGCTTATAGAAGTGTGGCAACTGTCTGTTTTCCAGGTATACTCGCCTGGTAGCAAGTTGCATCCTATTCATAGTTGTAAGGACCTGAGAGACTGGAGAAGTATAGCCTTTGTTGCTGGGTAAGGTGTGAGAGTGAGTGGCACAATGGGAAAGGGCATCACCATCCAATATATTATGCGGACGGTTTTGCAACTGAGGCGTCCAGCATTGCAACACAGCTACATTTGTGTGAGTTTGCAGCATGCAGATATGGAATAGGCTTATGGAAGTGTAGCAACTGTCTGTTTTCCAGGTATACTCACCTGGTAGCAAGCTGTATCCTATCCAGAGTTATAAGAACCTGAGAGGCTGGAGAAGTGTAGCCTTTGTGGCTGGGTAGGGTATGAGAGGGAGAGGGCACAACCATCCAACATATTGTGTGGACGGTTTTGCAACTATGGAGTCCAGCATCACAACACAGCTACATTTGTGTGATTTTGCAGCATGCAGCTATAGAATAGGCTCTTGGTCCTATTGCAGGAAATTAACTGACACTAATTGCATATTGTTTTGATGCTATATTAGCTTCTGGGAGCTTATTTTGTCCTATGGATGGCAGGAAGACCTACTTTAGGTCGGAGGAAGCCAATACCTGTTTATCATCACTTGGAAACTTTACAAAGCTGTTTTGTGGGCAGCAAGGGATACATGTGGGTCTGGATGCAGTCCTTTTTGGTGCCTCCAACTTCAGGGAACCATACCTGGCGGATCCACTGCCATGGAGGCAGAGAAGGCACACTTGCTTTTGCTAAAGCTCCTCCTGAAGGTGGACAAGTCCTATGTCTCCCCATCCCTTCAAAAGTTTGACACTGACTGAGCTTTGTTTACAACGTTTGCGGGATCCACCGGCCTTTCCTACAAAACGGCACTACACTTCCAACAGCAGGAAGCCCATCGAACCTTGCACGAATGCAGCGTGACTCTTTGGAGAGTTGTTCTGGGATAGCCATTCCGAGCCAAAGATGGTGGCTGCTCATAGACATGGGATGGAGTGGCCTTTTAGCAAAGAGATTTGATCCTGGACCAGCATCCTTCGTTCTTCTAAATCAAGAGGATCTTTGGCCATGGAGATATTGTGGATCACCCTTCTCATTGTTTGTGGCAATCCAAAAGGTCCAGGTGGAGAGTGAGGCCTTTTACTCCTGGTCTCTATATTTCTCTAGGTAAACAATACAGTTGGGAAGCTGATGGGGATGCGAGGATTGTTGTATTGGGATACAAATTGACCATAGCACAAAGCAGTGCTTTCCCATCACATTATTGGAGGGATATTGGGGGAATATTCCAGCTTTGGAGTCTCTAGGCACCCAGACTCTATTGCTTTTTTACTTTATTTGGGTGTCTGCAGCACTTTCAGAGGAGACTTTACAGAAGTTAGATTTTCATGGCAGATCTGGAAGTATTCTGACTAACTTTAGATGCAGGATAACCACAGGAAGGATTGTCAGGAGCGAGTGTGTCTAGTCAGCGAAGGAGTGTGTATGTGTGTCCTTTATTTATATGGCAATTGTAGGGAGAGAAGGGAGGTCACTGTGCCCTGGAAAAGGGCCTTAAAAGCTGCCTTAAATTACTCTAAATGCATTATATAGGAAGACAATCTTAATCTTATTGGATATTTAATATTATTGTATGTATAGAGAACTATTGAGCTCTTTGTTTTGGTACATTCGAAGCAAGGGAAGCGTGTATCAATAAACTTCTACCTTGCACTACAAAGGCTCCTTTCTTTTGTTACCTGAAAAGGGCACTGTATTGAAAATGGGTGTTGGAAGTCGCTAAATAACAAAGTCGTCTACGAATCTGGGTTGTTGTAATTTTTTTGGTCTGTATGACCATGTTCCAGAAGCATTCTCTTCTGATGTTTCGCCTGCATCTATGGCAGGCATCCTCAGAGGTTGTAAGGTTTGCAAATCGTTTCCCCTCAGAGTAGTGTTTCTCAACATTCCTAATGCGCTGACCCCTTAATACAGTTCCTCATGTTGTGGGGACCCCCAACCATAAACATTATTTTCGTTGCTACTTCATAACTGTAATTTTGAACTCCACCAACAATAGAAGTAAACCAAACTTGGCACACACAGAACTCCCATGACCAACAGAAAATACTGGAAGGGTTTGTTGGGCATTGACCTTGCATTTTGGAGTTGTAATTCACCTACATCCAGAGAGCACTGTGGTCTCCAACAATGATGGATCAGGACCAAACTTGGCACAAACACTCAATATGTCCCCAAATGTGAACACTGGTGGATTTTGGGGGAAATGGACCTTGACATTTGGGAGTTGTAGTTGCTGGGATTTCTAGTTTGCCTACAATCAGTATTCTGAACTCCACTGATGAGGGAATTGAACCAAACTTGACACACAGAGCTCACATGACCAACAGAAAATACTGGAAGGGTTTGGTGGCCACTGACCTTGCATTTTGGAATTGTAGTTCACCTACATCCAGAGAGCACTGTAGTCTCCAACAATGATGGATCAGGACCAAACTTGGCATGAACACTCAATATGCCCAAATGTGAACACTGGTGGTGTTTGGGGAAAATAGACCTTGACATTTGGGAGTTGGAGTTGCTGGGATTTATAGTTCACCTACAAAGAAAGAGCATTCTGAACCCCAGCAGTGATAGCATTGGGCCAAACTAGCTAGTCACTCATAAAAACACAAAAACACAACAGAAGAGACTTAAAAAGCCAAAATAAAAAAATACATAAATAAAAAATACATTAAAATGCATGCACAAAAACATATATACACATGTACACAAATATATACACACAAAACACACATATACACACTGGGCCACAGCAACGCGTGGCAGGGGACGGCTAGTCACTCATAAAAACACTAAAAAACACAGCAGAAGAGACTTAAAAAGCAAAAAAACCCCATTAAAATGCATGTGCAAAAACATACACATGTACACAAATATATACACACACAAAACACATATACACACACTGGACCACAGCAACGCGTGGCAGGGGACGGCTAGTAAATAAATAAAAACAGAAATGCTTAAAAGCTTTTGGGGCAACTTTGCCACAAACCTCTTTTATTTAGCCGATTTTTTCCTGGACGCATTGACTCTTTTAACAAATGAAGCTTTTACTCCACTGAGATGATTTTGTGTTCCTGCTTCCTCAGTTTCCCCTTTGCCACCCCACCTGCATTCTTCTTGAGTACTATTAGCTCCAAACAGAGCACCTAAATGCGGATTAGTGCAAAGGAAATGGGAGGAATGCTGCTTTATTCCAGGGATTTCTGCTGACCTCGGCGCCACATCCCTTTCCCTCATGCATCCTCTTGACTCTAAAAATCAAAATACTGCTCAGTTCAAATCTGTATCTGAAGCTGATTGACATGAATATTCTTTTGCAAATGTGAAAGCAGTACGTGAAAAAAATTCCAAATTCCAAGACTTAGTTTGGAACGGTGTTCTAAAGCTTGGAAATCTCTGTACTAGAGGGATAAGTAGTCCAGAAAGTCAACATTTCCAAGCTCTGTACCCGCGCCTGACTCAATGATTCCTTGAAACACAATCTGTATTTTCAGCATTAAATATTTTTGACACCGACAACTCTCAAAAGAAAAAAAAATATGTCAAAGGACCATCGTAAGTTTCAAACATGCCAGCTGCAAATCACAATTACTGATTTTTTTTAACTAACCATAATTACGCGCAACCAATCTTTGGCAATTCTGTTACAATATAACTCTGCCACATTTTAATACCCAGTTTCCCCAAAAATAAGACCTCCCCTGAAAATAAGACCTAGTAGAGGTTTTGCTGAATTGCTAAATATAAGGCCTTTCCCGAAAGTAAGACCTAATAACGCTTTGTGTTCAGAAATATCGGGATTGGTAAATGTACCATAGATTGTTGTACATGGAAATAATGGGAGTAACAATACCTCGTTTCCCCAAAAATAAGGCCTCCCGTGAAAATAAGACCTAGTAGAGGTTTTGCTGAATTGCTAAATATAAGGCCTCCCCCGAAAGTAAGACCTAGTAAAGCTTTGTGTTCAGAAATATCGGGATTGGTAAATTTACCATAGATGGTCGTACATGGAAATAATGGGAGTAACAAAAATAAGTCCTCCCCTGAAAATAAGACCTAGCAGAAGTTTTGCTAAATTGCTAAATATAAGGCCTCCCCCAAAAGTAAGACCTAGTAAAGCTTTAGGTTCATATATATCAGGATTGGTAAATGTACCATAGATTGTTGTAAAGGGAAATAATTGAAGTAACAATAAATTCTTGAAAGGATTCACACTTTGTCTGGTAATGTTTGGGATGACAACCACTGCACAATATATAATCAATGTTTGGGTTGTTTGTTCAACAATAAATGTGAAAAATAAGACAATTCATGGAAAAATAAGACATCCCCTGAAAATAAGACCTAGCACATAAAAAATAATATAAGACACTGTCTTATTTTCGGGGGAACGGGGTATGTATCGTCTCCTCTAAAAGCAATAATTTCAGCTTCTTGTTTTTTGTTCAACACTAAATGTGAATTCTTCATGGAAATATAAGACATCCCCTAAAAATAAGACCTAGCGCATCTTTAGGAGCAAAAATTAATATAAGACACTGCCTTATTTTGGGGGAAACAGGGTAGACATGAATACTTAAGAGAGGTAAAGGTATGGCGTTTAGTACTGGACAAAGGGTTGTCCCATTTGCAAAACTTTTCGGGGGAGAACTTTGGTGCCCTAAGACTTTCTTGTTTTGTCTTGCACCAATATTTTTAATTGCTACTTTCTGCTCTTAGACCTCAAAAGGGGGTACATTTGGCCTAAAACATCTATTAGCCCCACAAAAGTTGGGAAAAAAGGTATTCACTCCATGCATTTCTAGTCCTAGTTGTGTCACGCATTCGGTTCAGAGCGGGAAAATCTGGACTTGGGGACTGGTCTCAATCTTGTTTTGAATTCAAACTCACCAGGTTGAAGAGAACACAGCAAGTCTGGAGATGTTTGAGAGTCACAGTAAACCTGTGGATTATTTTTCTAATATGTTATAAATAGATAAACCATGCAGCTGTGGGCAGGAAGGGGAAAAAAGGTATGGACTGTGGATTGATGCCAATGTTTATCTCCAAGCCGCAGACACATTCTGATTATCAATTGTGGATTGGAAACCGAGGCCTCTGACCCTTTGACAGATTGTCTGGGGTGGTTGGGAGTTGGAGTTCAACAGCATCTGGAAATGTATAGGCTCCCCCTTGCCCCTGACATAAGCATGATAGCAGCTACCCTGTCCCCCCAAAAATAAGACCTACCCCAAAAATAAGACCTATCATGACCCCCAAAATAAGACCTATCATGATCCTTAAAAATCCTGATTTTTGAGGATGCTCGAAATATAAGCCCTATTTCAAAAATAAGCCCTAGATACTGTCACTTTGGGGAAACAAGATAGCCGATGAAAACAAGCCCTAAACCTCTCTTTGGGAGCAGAAACTAATATAAGACCCTGTCTTATTTTTGGGGAAAATGGGGTATACAGTGTTCCCTCGCTACTTCGCAGAGCGCTTTTTGCAGACTCGCTGTTTTGCAATGATGGAGTCTGGAAGGGGGTTTCACTCTCCCTCTCTGGAAAGAGGCTGCCAATCATAAAAAAAAGAGAGAGGAGATACAAAGCAGTGTGTAAATCATGACCTTATAGCCCCTTATTTATAGCTAGCAAAAAAAGAAAATGTGTGCGGCGGCTTTAAATCTCTCCTCGCTTCTGCCTCACCCTCGGAATGTGATGTATATATGTGTGTGTGTGTATTAGGCCCGGGCAATGCATGGTTCTAAATGGTTCTAAAGTACTTACAAAACTGGTGGTGAACATTTCAGAACTCTTAACAAAACTCTCAAAATTTCATTATCAATAGCAGTTCCTAATTAGTTCTGACATAAAAATTACCAATAATGAAATAATAAATAAATTTTGAAAGTTTTGGTAGAGTTCTGAAATTTTCACCACCAGAACTTTAGTTTTGTAAGTACTTTAGAACCATGGATTGCCGAGGCCTAGTGTGTATGTGTTATGTGTGTGTGTGTGTATATATATATATATATATATATATACACACAGAGAGAGAGAGAGAGAGAGACCCTACTTCACGGATTTTCAACTTTTCGCGGGTGATCCTGGAACGAAACACCCGCGATAAGTGAGGGAACACTGTTACGTGAAAATTCACTATGTTATGTTGTCATGTTTTTGTATGTGTGTGTATATATATTTATGTATGTATATATGTATCTGTGTATGTGTGTGTATATATATATATAGAGAGAGTCCCTACTTCGTGGATTTTCAACTTTTCAGGGTGATCCTGGAACGAAAAACCCGCGATAAGTGAGAAAACACTGTATACATGAACATTCACTATGTGACGTTGTCATGTTTTTGTATGTGCGTGTGTATATATGTATATATGTATGTGTGTGCGTGTGTATGTATGTGTGTGTATGTATGTGTGTGTATGTGTGTGTGTGTGTGTATATATATATATATATATATATATAATATCTAAATAACAAGGTTTGCAACCATTTCTGTTTCAATTAAAGAATGCTGCTAGATCAGGCATGGGCAAACTTTGGCCCTCCGGGTGTTTTGGACTACAACTCCCACAATTGTGAGAGTTGTAGTCCAAAACACCCGGAGGGCGAAAGTTTGCCCATGCCTGTGTTCGGTCAATAATCTAAAGTTTCTCTTGAATAGAACAACAAGTATCTGTATACTATCCAAAACAGTCTTGATGCCGCTAACACTTTGGGTCAGGGATGGGAACTGTGCAAATTTCTAGATGTTGGACTACAACTCCCAGTAGCTCCAGCCTGCTTTGCCAATGACACAGTAAGCTGGGAGATATGGTCCAGAAAACACCCAGAGAAAAGGATTCAATTCCCATCTCTGTTCTAAAGTACTTATAAAACTAAAGTTCTGGTGGTGAAAATTTCAGAACTCTAACAAAACTCTCAAAATTTCATTGTAAGTGGCAGTTCCTAATTGGTTGTCATACAAATCACCAATAATGAAATAATAATTACATGTTGAAAGTTTTGTTAGAGTTCTGAAATTTTCACCAACTCCCTTAAATGTTGATGAACTCCAAATCCGTGCTGAGTGATGGGATTTAGAGTTTAGTGGCATTTAGACAATCGCGGCTTTTCCAGCTCCGCATTAGCCGAGCAACCCGATTTTTGAAACAGCAGCAGCAATGAAACCATCTTCAGCAGCAGGGATTTCCTGCCTGCTTTTTCAAAACATAATTAACCGTAAGGGCAAGAAGGATAGGAAACGGGTGCCAACCATAAGAAGGTTGAGTGGGAATCAAGCTGGGCTCCTGACACAGGGATGGGATGGGTGGGAATCAACCTGAGGGGCCCAGGCCGGCTTCTATGGATGCAATGCGAGTCAGAGCCAAAGGAGGGAAGAGCCAAGGGTCCCAGGCTATTTATAAGAGGCAGCAGGCGCGGAAGAGGAGCATCCCTTCGCCGTTGGAGAGGTGCAAGGAGACGCTCTCGTTGGCCGAGATGAACAGCACGGAGCCCCGACGGAGGGGCATCTCGGCCGTGGCTGCGGTGGAGGAGCCCACGGCCACCCCTTGCACCACCAGCACGATGCTAGCCGAGTCGATGGCCGAAATGAGGTACAACTTAATGGAAGCCGGAATCTGAAAATTCAAAAAGAAAGAGAGAGTTAGGCAACAAAGGAAGGAGAGGTGACGTCTCTTTCCTTTTAAACTGCCTTGAACAGGCAGGATTATTTTAAATATATATACTGTATATACTCGAGTGTAAGCCTAGTTTTTCAGCCCCCTTTTTAGGCTGAAAAAGCTCCCCTCGGCTTATACTCGAGTCCAAGTTATTTATTATTTTACTCTGTTATTACTATTATTTTTATTACACATTTATTATTTTACTCTATTATTGGTATTGTTACATTTACATTATTTTACTCTATTATTAGTTTATTACATTTATTTTACTCTATTATTATTATATTTATTATTTTACTCTATTACTGTTATTATTACATTTACATTATTTTACTCTATTAATTTTATTACATTTATTTTACTCTATTATTATTATTACATTTATTATTTTACTCTATTAATGGCATTGCATTTGCATTATTTTACTCTATTATTATTTATTACATTCATTTTACTCTATTTTTATTATTATTACATTTATTATTTTACTTTCTTTCTTATTATTGGAAGGATACGTAAGCACATTGACCCTGAAAAAGGTTAGAATAATGGTTTAATCAAAGTTGGTCAGTCTTATTTTAAATTACAGTTTTATGTAAACATTGAAAAACATTTAACCTACTATTTCCTCAATTAATGTAATTTTATTGGTATCTATATTTATTTTGTATTACCAATCGCTGCTGCATTTCCCACCCTCGACTTATACACGAGTCTCCAGGGAGGGAGAAAGAACTTTTGTCTGCTTGAGGCAAGTGTGAATGTTGCAATTGGCCACCTTGATTAGCATTGAATGGCCTTTCAGCTTCAAAGCCTGGATGCTTTCTGCCTCAGGGAATCCTTTGCTAGGAGTTAGCTGACCCCGATTGGTCTTTCTCCCACCCTGGACATTATTGCACAAATATATAAACCTCACTTGCCTAGTTTCCTACAGACCTCACAACCTCTGAGTATGCCTGCCATAGAAAACTTACAGCAACTCAGTGATTCTGGCCATGAAAGCCTTCAAAAAGGTTTATATATCTGTGGAAGGTGGGAGAAAGAAAGAACTCTTGTCTGTTGGAGGCAAGTGTGAATGTTGCAATTAATCATGATTAGCACTGCAAGCCTTGCAGCTTCAAGGCCTGGTTGATTCCTGCCTGTGGGAATTTTTTGTTAGGAGGTGTTAGCTGACTCTGATTGTTTCAGTCTGGAATTCTTCTGTTTCAGATTGTTGTTTTTTATTTACCGCCCTAATTTTAGAGATTTTTTTACACAGGGAAGGCTGGCCTGGCTTCGGAGGCCAGGGAGGCAGTCAGGCACCCTCGAGATGGACCGGGAGTGGCAGACACACAAGCTCTCCAAGTCGCAGGAGGGCAAGCGGAGCCGCCGGAGGGAGTTCCGGCCCGCATACCAGCCTCCCTTTCTGAAGTATGCCAAAATAACATATAAATATTAAAATCAATATAGTGTCCCTACTTTGTGGATTTTCACTTATTGCGGGTGATCCTGGAACATAATATCCGCGACAAGTGAGGGAAGACTGAACTGTATTTCCAAAACCAAGGGGATCAGGGAGAGTCAAAAAGCCATCTTGGCTAGGGAGGAGGAGGAGGAAGAAAACCCACCGTGATCCTCATGACAGCGAAGTCTGGAACGGGCGGGTCGTAGAGGTAGACGTAAGGGTCCAGGCGGCTTTGCACGGGGGACAAGAGCTTGGAGCTGCCGGGAGCTGGAGTATAGTTGAGCATTTCGCACAAGGTGAGGACGTCAATGAACTTGGGGGTCAGGCCGGCTCGGACAGTGTTGTCAGAACACGCCATGCACTCGATGCAGTCTGTGGAAACAGAAAGAGCCGTGGGAAGAAGGCACGCTATGGGGGGATCCTCTCCTGGGGACAAGAGAGCTGTCTTCTATGGCATGGGTGATGATCAAATATATTATATATATGCGGGACATCCGCAGGGATACCAAGGTGCTTGTTTATAAAGCTATTGTCCTCCCAACCCTGCTCTATGCCTGCGAAACGCTGACTATCTACAGACGTCACATGCAACTCCTGGAACGATTCCATCAGCGCTGCCTCCGGAAAATCCTGCAAATCTCTTGGGAAGACAAGTGGACAAACGTCAGCATGCTGGAAGAAGCAAAGACCACCAGCATTGAAGCGATGGTCCTCCACCATCAACTCCACTGGACCGGCCACGTTGTCCGGATGCCTGACCACCGTCTCCCAAAGCAGTTGCTCTACTCTGAACTTAAGAACGGAAAACGGAATGTTGGTGGACAGGAAAAGAGATTTAAAGATGGCCTCAAGGCCAACCTTAAAAACTCTGGCATAGACACTGAGAACTGGGAAGCCCTGGCCCTTGAGCGCTCCAGCTGGAGGTCAGCTGTGACCAGCAGTGCTGCAGAATTAGGAGGCACGAGTGGAGGGTGAAAGAGAGAAACGTGCCAAGAGGAAGGCGCGTCAAGCCAACCCCGACCGGGACCGCCTTCCACCTGGAAACCAATGCCTTCACTGTGGGAGAAGATGCGGGTCAAGAATAGGGCTCCACAGCCACCTACAAACCCACAAAAATAGTAATCAAGGAAGACCATCTTACTCGTCCAACGAGGGATCGCCTAAGTAAGTAAGTATATTATTTTATTATTTATTAATTATTATTATTAACTTTATTTATACCCCACTAACATCTCCCGAGGAGCCCCCGGTGACACAGTGGGCTAAAGCACTGAGCTGCTGAGCTTGTTGATCGAAAGGTCACAGGTTCGATTCCGGGGAGTGGCGTGAGCTTCCGCTGTCAGCCCTAGCTTCTGCCAACCTAGCAGTTCGAAAACATGTAAATGTGAGTAGATCAATATGTACCACTCCGGCGGGAAGGTAACAGCGCTCCATGCAGTCATGCTGGCCACATGACCTTGGAGGTGTCTACGGGCAACACTGGCCCTTCGGCTTAGAAATGGAGATGAGCACCACACCCCGGAGTCAGACATGACTGGACTTAATGTCAGGGGACTACCTTTACCTTTACCTTTACCTTTAACATCTCCCGAAGGACTCAGTGCGGCTTACAAAAGGCCAAGGCCCTCAATAAAACAACAGCATAACAAATACAACAATAAAACTCATAAAGCAAAACAATAAACATTAAAGCAATAACAATAAGCAATAACATGGTCCAGGGGTCATTTGTAACCCACAGAGTTCATGCTGGGATTAAGAAGGCCCTGTCTCTCGGTCCCACCAGCCACGCCTGCAAAAGTGGTGGGACCGAGAGCAGGGCCTCCCCAGGAGATCTTAACCTCCATGATGGTTCATAGAGGGAGATGCGCTCAGGCAGGTAAGTTTGGAAATAGTGAGGGAAGGAGAGAAAAGTGAGGGAAGGTTGGCCACAGCAACGTGTGGCGGGTACAGCTAGTATAGGAAAGAAAGAACTACTATCTTGCCTCCCTTCTCCTTATGAACTCACCTCCATAGAGGTAGGCGTGAGGCTCATTGGCTCCCAGGAACATGCACTCGCCCGGCTGCAGCTTCACCACGTTCAGGAAATAGATGGCAAAGCAGCCAATGTCTCCAGGATACTGGGAATGGAGCCGGAGGAGCAGCTCCCCACAACTGGCAGAAATGTCTTTCCCTGCCGCCGCTGTGGGTCAGAAGGGAAAAGAGAGCCCGATGAATGGCAGTATATGCTGGAAGCAGTCCGTCATCTCTCCCCAGCTGCTGTGGGCCTTTCCTGCCTGGCAGAATAGGGTCAGACTGGATGGCCTTTGCGATCTTTTCCAAATCTATGGGGCCCGACCCACTCATATCTCCAGTCGGATTCTGGGATTACCAAAATTAAACAGAGTCAAATATGTAACCATGCATTGTCGAAGGCTTTCATGGCCGGAATCACTGAGTTGTTTTAGGTTTTTCGGGCTATCTGGCCATGTTCTAGAGGCATTCTCTCCTGATGTTTCGCCTGCATCTATGGCAAGCATCCTCAGAGGTAGTGATGTCTGTTGGAACTAGGAAAATGGGTTTATATATCTGTGGAATGATCAGGGTGAGAGAAAGAACTCTTGTCTGTTGGAGCAAGGTGGGAATGTTTTAACTGACCACCTTGATTAGCATTGGATGGCCTGGCAGTGCCTGGGGCAATCTTTTGTTGAGAGGTGATTAGGTGTCCCTGATTGTTTACTCTCTGTTGTTTTGCTGTGGTAATTTTAGACTTTTTTTAATATTGGTAGCCAGATTTTATTCATTTTCATGGTTTCCTCCTTTCTGTTGAAATTGTCCACTTGCTTCTTGTGGATTTCAATGGGTCCTCTGTGTCGTCTGACCCAGTGGTTGTGAGAGTGGTCCAGCATTTCTGTGTTCTCAAATAATGTGCTGTGTCCAGGTTGGTTCATCAGGTGCTCTGCTATGGCTGACCCACCAAGAAAATCCAACAACTGCTCCGTTCAGCAAAGGACAAGAGGGATCCTCTCACTTCTGCAGGAGTCTCCCATATACCATGCAGCTGTGGACAAGAAGTCTACAGAGGGACCACCAAAGGCAGCAGCATTGTCCAACCATGAATCAAGGAACACGAAAGGTGCTACAGACTACTTCAACCAGAGAAGTCAGCCATAGCAGAGCACCTGAGGAACCAACCTGGGCACAGCATATTATCTGAACCACTCTCACAACCACCATGTCAGGCTACACTGTGGTCATTCCACAGATATATAAACCCTTTTTCCTAGTTCTAACAGACCTCACTACCTCTGAGGATGCTTGCCATAGATGCAGGCAAAACGTCAGGAGAGAATGCCTCTAGAACATGGCCATATAGCCCGAAAAAACCTACAACAACCCAAATATGTAACTATTTAAGACCCCAAGGGCCACCCAGTCCAACCCCATCATGCACTGCAGAAAACACAATCAAATCAGTCCCAACAGATGTCCATCTATATTGTTTATAAACCCCCAGAGGAGATGACTCCACCACCTTCCAAGGCTGTAGATTCCACTGTGAAACTGGTCTCATTGGGGATAATGGATCACGACCTGTTAGGATCACTACCCATTGCAGTATAGATTATGGCCTGTGAGGATCACAACTTAACCGAGGTAGCAGAGTTTATTTGGCAATGAATGATCACTTGGCATGTAGATATTTTGTTTCTCAACCTTCCTAATGACATGACCCCCTTAATACAGTTCCTCATGTTGTGGGGACCCTCCAACCATATTTTCGTAGCTACTTCACAACTGTCATTTTGCTCCTGTAATGAATCATAATGTAAATATCTGATATGCAGGATGTATTTCCATTTGCTGGACCTAAATTTGGCACAAATACCCAATACAGCCACATTTGAATACTGGTGGGGTTGGGGGCGGGGTCACGATTGATTTTGTCATTTGCGAGTTGTAGTTGCTGGGATTTAAAGTTCATCTCCCATCAAAGAGCATTCTGAACTCCACCAACGATGGAATTGAACCAAATTTGGTACACAGAACTCCCACAGCCAATGGAAAACACTGGAAGGGTTTGGTGGGCATTGACCTTGGGTTTTGAAATAGTAGTTCACCTACATCCAAAGAGCACTGTAGACTCAAACAATGATGGATCTGGACCCAACTTGGAATGAATCCTCAATGCGAATCCGTAAATGCGAACATTGGTGGAGTTTGGGGAAACTAGACCTTGACATTTGGGAGTTGTAGTATTGTTGCTGCTGTTGCTGTTATTTGATACACAACAAGTCCACAGCAGACAAGATCACTCTGCTGGCTGTTGTAGAAGGGTTTGGTGGGCATTGACCTTGAGTTTTGGAGTTGTAGTTCACTTACATCCAGAGAGCACTGTGGACTCACACAATGATGGATCAGGACCAAACTTGGAATGCTCAATATGCCCAAATGTGAACAGTGGTGAAGTTAGGAGGAAATAGACCTTGACATTTAGGAATTGCAGTTGCTGGGTTTTATAGTTCACCTACAATCAAAGAGCATTCTGAACTCCACCAACGATGGAATTGAACCAAACTTGGCACACAGAACTCCCATGACCAACAGAAAATACTGAAAGGGTTTGGTGGGCATTTACCTTGAGTTTGGGAGTTGTAGTTCACCTACATCCAAAGAGCACTGTGGACTCAAACGATGGATCTGGACCAAACTTGGAATGAATTCTCAATATCCCCAAATGTGAACATTGGTGGAGTTTGGGGAAAATAGATCTTTACAGTCCACTTACAATCAAAGAGCATTCTGAACTCCACCAACGATGGAATTGAACCAATCTTGGCACATAGGACTCCCATGACCAACAGAAAATACTAGAAGGGTTTGGTGGGCATTGACCTTGAGTTTGGGAGTTGTAGTTCACCTACATCCAGAGAGCACTGTAGACTCAATGATGGATCTGGACCAAACTTGGCATGGATACTCAATATGCCCAAATGTGATCACTGGTGGAGTTTGGGGGAAATAGACCTTGACAATTGGGAGTTGTAGTTACTGGGATTTATAGTTCACCTACAATCAAAGAGCATTCTGAACTCCACCAATGATGGAATTGGGCCAAACTTGGCACACAGAACTCTCGTGACCAACAGAAAATACTGGAAGGGTTTGGTGGGCATTGACATTGAGTTTTGGAGTTGTAGTTCTCCTACAAGAGGCTTGAATGGGACCAACTTGGATCCCTCTCTCAGCCTGTGTCTATCAATTAATGGAACTTGCCTGTCATTTGAAACTACTGAAAGAGGTCATAAACGAGTAAACAATGAGCAGAGGAAGCCTCTGTAAACAAACCTCCACCAATGGAAGCCCACATTCTTCCTCTCTAGCAGTCGGACTGGTTTCCTGGGGTGGGAGAGCTTCCACAGGGAGAGAACAAAAGCCCCAGAGCCTACGGAAAACTACAAATCTGTGCCTACATGCCCAAAGGTGTCGTGAGAAATGTGCTCAGACCTGAAGAGGGTTTTGCCTCCCTAAAGAAGAAAGGGAGAAGTCTTCTCAATTTGGAAATACTTCCCTGATGGCGAAAGTGAAAAGGAGACGGGCCCTGTCTGTGTACAAAGTGGCTTACAATCAGAATTGCGCTTTTGGCAACCTTAAAAGGTTGCTGTGAGTTTTGCAGGCTGCATGGCCATGTTCCAGAAGCATTCTCTCCTGACGTTCCTCAGATGCCTGCCATAGATGTGGGCGAAATGGTAATTTTATAAGTGCCGATTGTTTGTAAGTCCAGGCCAAGGTCTTTAAGCACTGCACCCAGTGTGCCCATCACCACTGGGACCACCTTGACTGGCTTGTTTGTTTGTTTGTTTATTTATTTATTTATTTATTTATGGCATTTGTACCCTGTCTCTTCTCTACTCAGGATGGCTTACATTAGTAACGGTGCAATAATAATAATAATAATAATAATAATAATAATAATAATAATAATCTTATTTATCTCTATTCCCATGCTGAAAGCACCCGACCTCACGCTGAACTGACCTTCTTGGGAGATGCGCTTCACCAACATGTTGAGCTGGTCCACAAAGACCTTCTTCTCGCTCTTCATCATCCTGGTGAAGCAGACGCGCAAGGCGGCCGCCACGCCCCGGGGGTCATCCCTCACACTGCGCTCCAGCTGCTCCGCCGCCACGTTCCCAATTAATGTCCGGAATTCAGGAACATCTGCAGGAAAAGCCCCCAAATCAGGCTGGCCGCCTCCTGGAAAGGCCACCCATAAATCTGCAGAATAGCAAGCCAGAATATTTTCCCACTAACCGATGGATATTATTCCAGAGCCGGCTACTCTCGAGAGGAATTGCCTCCGCGTTAAAGCAACTCTCTAGGAATGCCTCCTTTCGTTATGTATTTGAGGAAGAGGAGCAAATCCTTGGCGGCAGAATCCTCCCAGCCGTCCCTCGCTGGATCCGCTTCCGAAGCTACGCCCATTTACACAGAAATCTCACCACTTACTGAGACCTCTCTCACATTCAGGGTTTGGTGACCGGCGCATGGCGCTATTTATGCACTTCCCCACGGAAGAGTCCCATTGCATGCTTACTCTGGAGGAAGCCCACGATTTCCTCTCCCGGCCGGAAACCGCACATGCCCTCAAAGGGGGTGAGGGCAATGGCCATCTCCGGCTTGTGGTTGGCATCGGGGTAATGCTCCGGAGACTGAGCGTGCAGCTTCTCGGCCAGTTCCTGGGGAGGGAGGGAAGAAGGAAGGAAGGAGAGAAGGAGGGGGACCAAAGCTGAGACCTGCAAGACAGGGTATCGAGGCTGCTTCCACTGCTTAACCCCAGACAGGCTCCAAATAAGACCCAAAATATATAGGGAGTGGATAGACTCCAAATAGGCCCCAAAGACCATGTTGTTTGTTGTTGTTTATTCGTTCAGTCGCTTCTTTGTGACCTCATGGACCAGCCCACGCCAGAGCTCCCAATAATAATAATAATAATAATAATAATAATAATAATAATAATAATCTTTATTTATACCCCGCCACCATCTCCTCAAGGGGCCTCGGGGCAGCTTACATGAGGCCAAGCCCAACAATTACAATAAACGAAATATACAACATTAATTAATCTATATAAATAAAAATGTAATGTTAGTTTGTGGGATTAACAGAACTCAAAAACCGCTGGGCAAATTGACACAAGACACCTATTAGGCCAACGAGTGACCATCACTCATAAACACACTGAAAAACACAGCAAAAGAGACTTAAAAAGGCAAAAAACAAAAAATACATTACAACGCACGCGCGAAACAACTTATATATACACACATATATACATATACATACACAAAACACATACACAGAAAGAAGAAGAAGGGAAGGAGAGAAGGTAGGAAAGAAAAGCATAGAGAAGGAAGGAAGGAGAAAAGGGAGAGAAGAAGGGAAAGAAGGAGGGAAGGAGAGAAAGAAAGAAAGAGGAAGGAGAGAAGAGAAAGAAGGAAGAAGGAAGAGGTAGAGAAAGGGAAGGAGAGAAGGAAGGAGAAAAAGAGGGAAGGAGAAAGAAGAAAAGAAGGAGAGAGAAGGAGAGAAGGAAGAGAGAAGAAGGAGAGGAAGGGAGGGAGAGAATGAAATAAAAAGTGAAAGAGGGAAGGAGGAGAAGGAAGGAAAGAAGAGGGAAGGAAGGAAAGAGACAAGGAAGGGGAACCAAAGAGCAAAGAAAGTGAGAAAAGAAACAGGTAGAGAAGGAAGGAAGGAAGAAAAAGAGGGAAGGAAGGAAAGAGGGAGGGAGAAGGAAGAAGAGAGAAAGAGGGAGGGAAGGTTGGCCACAGCAAGCGTGGCGGGTACAGCTAGTAATAATAAATAATAATAATAATAATAATAATAAGAAGAAGAAGAAGAAGAAGAAGAAGAAGAAGAAGAAGAAGAAGAATCTTTATTTATACCCCGCCACCATCTCCCCAAGGGGACTCTGAGCGGCTTACATGAGGCCAAGCCCAACAATAACAATAAACCAAATATACAACATTAATAATAATAATAATAATAATCATCATCATCATCATCATCATCTTCTTCTTCTTCTTCTTCTTCATTTATACCCCACCACCATCTCCCCAAGGGGCCTCGGGGCAGCTTACATGACGCCAAGCCCAAGCAACAAATTACAATAAAATAAAACCCAAAGACACAAACGACAACACAGTGAAATACATAAAACATATGAATACAATAAGCAATATAAAAATACAATATCCACAATGACAATGAGTGGGCCGCATGTGCAAGATAAAAGGCTAAAACTCAGGGTGAGATAAAAGAGGAGCAGATTATTTGTGAGGGAGAGCTCATAAAGAAACGGGTTTGTAAAAAACAGGCCTTCATACAAGCCTGTTTTGTTTTTACCTTTCTTTAAGAATACAGAGATGGCAAAGACTTTATGGAGATAGGGAATTCCGTGATTCAAGCCTCGCGCACTCAAAATCTGTCAAATCTCACCCGGAGTATTTTGACCCCATGAAGAGCCACTTACCTTGGTGGGATGGGCTTGGATGGACAAAGCCGTGTTGACCGACAGCACTTTGAACAAGAAGGGCAGCTGGCCCTGGAAAGAGTCCTTCACCTTGGAGCCCAGGCATCCCGGGTTGACCGCAATCCACTGGCCCAAGGTCTTCTGCGGGATGCGGTTGTCACAGATCACGGCGTCGCCTTTGGGGTGAGTGCCCATCCAAAGCTGGGAGGGAAGGAGGCAAAAGCACAAGCCTTGTGGTCGTTTGGGGGGGGGGCACTCCCCATCAGGCCGGGGCCAGAACTGGCACGGCATTGTAGGTCCAAACACAGTTGAGGATCTTCCAAGGTTTTGGAGAAAAGATTGGCTACACCAGTGGTTCTTAACCTTCCTAATGCTGCGACCCCTTAATACAGTGGTTCTCAACCCTAATGACCCCTTAATACAATCCCTCATGTTGTGGTGACCCCCAACCATAATATTGTTTTCTTTGCTACTTCATAACAGTCATTTTACTACTGTTATAAATCATAATGTAAATATCTGATATGCAGGATGCATTTTCATTCACTGGACCAAACTGGGCACAAATACCCAATACACCCAAATGTGAATGCTAGTGGGGTTGGGGGAGGATTGATTTTGTAATTTGGGAGTTGTAGTTGCTGGGATTTATAGGTCACCTATAATCAAAGAGCATTCTGAACTCCACCAGCGATGGATTTGAACCATACTTGACTCCCATGACCAATGGAAAACACTGGAAGGGTTTGATGGGCATTGACCTTGAGTTTGGGAGTTGTAGTTCACCTATATCCAGAGAGCACTGTGGACTCATGCAATGGTGGATCTGGACCAAACTTGGCACGAATACTCAATATGCCCAAATGTGAACACTGGTGGAGTCTGGGGAAAATAGATCTTGACATTTGGGAGTTGTAGTTGCTGGGATTTATAGTTCATTACAATCAAAGGACATTCTGAACTCCACCAACGATAGAATTGGCTCAAACTTCCCACATGGAATCCCCATGACCATCAGAAAATACTGTGTTTTCTTATGGTTTTTGGCGACCCCTCTGACACCCCCTCGCGACCCCCTCAGGGGTCCCAACCCCCAGGTTCAGAAACACTGGGCTACACCTAGGATGGGCACACTTCAGCCCTCCAGGCCTTTTGGATTCCAACTCCCACAATTCCTAACAGACACTTGGCAAACAGACCCAAAATGGCCAACTGTGAAGACTGGCAGGGTTGGGGGGTGATTGTTGACCTTGGAACCAGGGAGTTGTACTCAACCCAGATTCAGAGAGCACCGAACCCAGCCCATCACAGATCTGGACCAAACTTCAGTCACATTACCTAATACCCCAAAACAAACAATGCCTTCTTCTAAGAACCCGGGCACTCCCCCAAGCTAGTCGACAAAAATAAAAATGTAAAATTAGTTTGTGGGATTAACATAACTATAAAAACCACTGGACGGATGGAGACCAAATTTGGACACAAGACACCTGTCAGGCCAACAAGTGACTATCGCTCATAAAAACACTGAAAAACACAGCAAAGGGGACTTAAAAAGCCAAAAAAGCATAAAGATGCTACAGTGCATGCGCAAAAATGACTTCCCCGGCAAACAGGACACACAATAGCATATCCACACTCTCTTCCGGACTTCAGCTCCCAGCATGCCTAGACCAGGCCCTTTAGGGGAGGAGGAGGATCCAAACGCACTGCTTCCAAGCTGCAAGCTTTCTTCTCCTTGGATTTCTTTGAGAGCATCCCAATACCAACGTATTTCCAATTTCCTATTCCTGGACTGCAACTCCCAGCAACCCTCCTGATAGATAAGGTAGGTAGGTAGATTGATCAGGAGAACTGCTGGGAGTTGCAGTTCAAGAATAGAGAAGGAAGGAAGAAAAAGAGGAAGGGAAAGAAAAGGGGAGAAGGAAGGAAGAGAAAGGAAAGAAGGAGAAGGAGAGGAAGGGAAAGAAAGAAGGGAGGGAGAAGAGGAAGGAAGAGGGAGGAAGAAGGAAGGAGGGAGGAGGGAAGGGAGAGGGAGGGAGGGAGGGAGAAGGAAGGAAGGAAGGAAGGAAGGAGGAAGGAAGGAAGGAAGGAAGGAAGGAAGGAAGAAGAAGGAGGGAAGGGGAAGAAGGAGAGAAGGAAAGGAGAAAGAGGGAGGGAAAGAAAGGAGGAAAGGAAGAAGGAGGAGGAGGAGGAGGAAGGAAGAGGAAGGAAGGAAGGAAGGAAGGAAGGAAAGAAAGGGGGAAGAGGGAGAGAAAGTGGAGGAAAGAAAAGGGAGGAATGAAGGGAAGAAGGGAAGGAAGGAGGAAAGAAGAAGGAAGAAGGAAGGAAGGAGGAAGGAAGGAAGGAGAAGAGAGAAGAGGAGAAAGAAGGGAAGAAAAGGGAAGGAAAAGGAGGGAAGGAAGAGAGAAAGAAAGAAAGAGAAAGGGAGGGAAGAAAAGGAGAAGGGAGGAGGAGAAGGAAGGAAGAAGGAAGGAAGAGGAAGAAAAAGAGAGAAAAGGAAGGAAAGGGGAGAAAGAAAAGGGGAGGGAAGAAGGAAGAGAAGGAAAGGAGGAGGGAGGAGGAGAAGAAAAGAAGAAAAAGGGAAGAAGGAAAAGGAAGGAAGCAAGGAGAGAGAGAAAGAAAGAAAGGAAAGAGGGAGGGAAGGAGAGAAAGAGAGAGAGAAAGAAAGGAAGAGAGAAAAAAGGGGAAGGGAAGGGAAGGAAGGCGAGAAAGAGGGAGGGAAGGTTGGCCACAGCAACGCTGTGGTACCGTTAGTAACTAATAACGTTACTAATTCCCACGTGCTGTCCTTTCAGCCTCGTAGGCTCAATACAAGGACCGAGTCTGACGACAGGCACGGGCAAACTGCACTCCTCCAGGTGTTTTGGACTTCAACTCCCACAATTCCTAACAGCCCACCAGTCTTAATAGCAATACAAAGGAAACTGGTGAAGGGTCGCCCGCTTACCTCTGCGTAGGGCTTCTCTGCTTCGATTTGCGCAGTGGGGTCGCTGCTGGCCAAGAGTTTGGCGACTTCGCTGTCCCGGCCGGCCTTGCCCCAGGCATAGTTCTGCACCGCGCAGGAGAGCGGGAAGACTGGGCAAGGGAGGCACACACAGAAATAAGGGTTGCTAATGGATTCAAATGGGAGGAAAAGAGATCCCACCTAAACCTTAGGAAGAACACTGGGATATGCTGCCTGGGAGACCCCTGGAGGCCTTGAAACAGAAGTGGGGTTGGCCATCTGTCGGAAGGGCTTGGATGGTGTCTTGGACCAGATGGCCATTGGGGTCTCTTCCTACCCTATGGCTCTAGGGTCGAGCGCCGCCTTCTCTAGAACCAAACCATCTTTTAGCAGCCATGACCAATGGCCCACCATCCCACTTCCTCGGCTACTTTTAAAGTGTCCTGGCTTCTCTCCCTGCCTCCGTCCATCATCCTCAGCTGACTTCCATTGCTGTAAACTGAGTCCAAAGCTTTCAAGGAGCTCCTTTAGGGCCCCTTCTACACTGCTCTATATCACAGGATGGGATCCCAGGTTATCTGCTTTGAACTGGATTATTTGGGGCCCCGTCTACACAGCTGTATAAAAACCCCACATTATCCGCTTTGAACTGGGATATATGGCAGTGTGGACTCAGATATCCCAGTTCAAAGCAGATATTGGTTGATTTCCTGGGGGCCCTTCCACACAGACCTGTATCCCAGAGTATCAAGGCAGGAAATCCCACATTATCCGAGTGTGGACTCAGATAACCCAGTTCAAAGCAGATGTTGGGGGATTTCAAGCCTTGATAGGGCTGCGTGGGAGGGCCCTGCCTTGATACCCTGTGTTATATGGCTGTGTGGAAGGGCCCCAAGTCTCCACTGCCAGATAATCTGAGATAAACAGATAATCTGGGATCAGATCCTGGGAGATAGAGCCAGTAGGAGAAGGGGCCTAAGGCTGGATCTACACGGCCATAAAATCCAGTTTCTGAATCCAGAAGATTTAGCTTTGAACTGGGTTATATGAGTCCGCACTGCTATAAAATCCAGTTCAAAGTAGATAATCAGGAACTGGATTGTATGGCAGTGTAGATGGGGCCAAACTCGGCAGAGTGGAGACAAGAAGAGTAATTATTTGCCTGCCGATTGAGATAAAAGCGGGATATAAATCAGTACTACAACAACAACAATAACAAACAAGTAGAGGGCCCGCTATGCTTCGAGTCGCACTCATAGAGATAAAAGCGGGATATAAATCAATACAACAACAGCAACAAACAACAAGCAGAGAGACCCCTATGCTTGAAGTCGCACTCATAGAGATAAAAGCGGGATTTTAATCAGTACAACAACAAATAAACAAACAAACAACAAGTGGAGGGCCCGCTATGCTTGGAGTCGCACCCATAGAAAGGCTCAAAAAGTCACATTTCCCAGCTGTTTGGATCCAGCACTCTGCAGGGATTTAGGAGTGTGATTCCCATCATCCCCGCACCATCCCGGGGTTAGGGACTACGGTTCCCATAATCCTGATTCTCCCATCAGTTCACTTTAGCCCTGAAAGGATCCATTCAACTGACTTAGACTTTAGTCCATTCAACAGACTTAGTGCCCTTCCACACAGCCGTTTAACCCAGAATATATTCAACGCAGGCAATCCACATTATCTGATTTGATCTGGATTATTTGTCTACACTGCCATATAACCCTCTTCAAAGCGGATATTGTGGGGTTCCATTCAGCTGTGTGGATGGGGCCTAAGGCTGGAGTTACACTGCCATATAATCTAGATTATCAACGCAGGTAATCCACATTGTTTGATTTGATCTGGATTATTTGAGTCCACACTGCCGTATAACCCACTTCAAAGCGGATATAATTCAGCTGTGTGGATGGGGCCTAAGGCTGGAGTTACACTTATCAACACAGGTAATCCACATTGTTTGATTTGATCTGGATTATTTGAGTGTACACTGCCATAAAACCCACTTCAAAGCGGATCATTTGGATTATTATGGCAGTGTAGAAAGGGCTTTAGGATGGATCTACACTGCCATATAATCCAGATTATCAAAGTAGACAATCCCGATTATCTGCTCTGAACTGGTTAATGTGACGCCGCTTCTACACCGCTGTATAAAATCCAGATTATCTGCTTTTCACTGGGTGATCTTGACAGTGTAGACTCATATAATGCAGTTCAAAGCAGATTGTGGGTTATCTGTGTTGATATTATACACACCGCTGTATATAATATCCACACTGAACTGGATTATATGGCAGTGTAGACTCATATAATGCAGTTCAAAGCAGATTGTGGGTTATCTGTGTTGATATTACACACACAGCTGTATATAATATCCACATTAAACTGGATTATATGGCAGTGTGGACTCAGATAATCCCGTTCAAAGCAGATTGTGGGTTATCTGTGTTGATATTACACACACAGCTGTATATAATATCCACATTAAACTGGATTACATGGCAGTGTAGACTCATATAATGCAGTTCAAAGCAGATTGTGGGTTATCTGTGTTGATATTATACACACCGCTGTATATAATATCCACATTGAACAGGATTATATGACAGTGTGGACTCAGATAATACAATTCAAAGCAGACATTGTGGATTATCTGCCTTGATATTCTTCTACCTTGATATGGCTGCGTGGAAACGCCTTGTATCCCAGGATCCGATCCCAGGTTTTCTGTTTATTCCAGATTATTTGGCAGTGTGGACTCATATAATCCACTTTAAACTTGGGATCACATCCTGAGATACAAGGCCTGTCTGGGCCTTAAAATAACCCAGTTCAAATCAGACAAAGTGGATTTTCTGCTTTGAAAACCTGGATTATCTGGCAGCGTTAGAAGAGGCCTGAGTCTACACTGCCCAATAATCCAGTTCAAAGCATATATTGCAGATTATCTGCCTTGATATATTCAGGGTTATATGGCTGTATGGAAGCGCCTTTTGTATCCCAGGATACGATCCCAGGTTTTGTTTATCCCAGATTATCTGGCAGTGTGGACACATATAATCCACTTTAAACTTGGGATCACATCCTGGGATACTGCCCAATAATCCAGTTCAAAGCATATATTGCGGATTATCTGCCTTGATATATTCAGGGTTATATGGCTGTGTGGAAGCGCCTTTTGTATCCCAGAATACGATCCCAGGTTTTGTTTACCCCAGGCAGTGTGGACTCATATAATCCGGTTTAAAGCAGAAAATCTGGGATACAAGGCCTGTCTGGAAGGGCCTTAAAATAATCCAGTTCAAATCACATAATGTGGATTTTCTGCTTTGATAACCTGGATTATCTGGCAGTGTAGGAGGGGCCCAAGTCTACACTGCCCAATAATCCAGTTCAAAGCATATATTGCGGATTATCTGCCTTGATATATTCAGGGTTATATGGCTGTGTGGAAGGATACGATCCCAGGTTTTGTTTATCCCAGATTATCTGGCAGTGTGGACTCATATAATCCGGTTTAAAGCAGAAAACCTGGAATACAAGGCCCGTCTGGAAGGGCCTTAAAATAATCCAGTTCAAATCACAAAATGTGGATTTTCCGCTTTGATAACCTGGATTATCTGGCAGTGTAGGAGGGGCCTGAGTCCACACTGCCCAATAATCCCGTTCAAAGGGGATAACCCAGATTTTATTTGGCAATGTAGAAGGGGGCAGAGAGAAAGGGTTGAGAAGCAATGGGAGGTGATCATTGCGGGGTAAAGGGGGCGTCTACACGGAAGAGTTAGGGCAGTTTGACCCCGCGTGGGCGGCCATTGCTTGGCTCCCCCACCCTGGGGACCACTCACTCACCTTTGAGCTCGGCCATCCTCCTCCTCCTCCTCCTCCTCGCAGCGTCTCTTTCAGCCTCGTTTTTTCCCAGCCGGCAAAAGGCTTGTCTCAGCCACGCCCCCTTTCCTCAAAGCACGCCGGGAAGTGTAGTCCTTGAATCCGGGTTCTCTCTCTCTCTCTCTTCCTCTCTCTCTCTCTCTCTCCTAGGAATCCGGATTGCGGGGGCAGGAGGCAAGCAAAGTGGGCGTGGAAAAGACTGAAACCACCCCTACAGTGTAGATGCATCCACCCTATATATGTGTGTGTGTATGTATTATATGTGTGTGTATATATGTGTGTTAATGGTGGATGGTAGTTAGAGCGGTATGAAACTGTGTTAAGTCTACAGTGTAGATGCATCCACCATGTATATGTGTGTGTGTATATATATATATATTGTGTGTGTGTGTATATATAGTGGATGGCAGTTAGAGCGGCATGAAACTGCGTTAAGTCTATAGTGTAGATGCATCCACCATGTATATGTGTGTGTGTATATGCATATGTATGTATTATATGTGTGTATATATAGTGGATGGCAATTAGAGCGATATGAAACTGTGTTAAGTCTACAGTGTAGATGCATCCACCATATATGTGTGTGTGTATATATATTATGTGTGTGTGTTTATGGTGGATGGCAGTTAGAGCGGTATGAAACTGTGTTAAGTCTACAGTGTAGTTGCATCTACCATATATATGTGTGTGTGTATATGTATGTATTATATGTATGTGTTTATGGTGGATGGCAGAACGATATGAAACTGCGTTAAGTCTACAGTGTAGATGCATCCACCATATATGTGTGTGTGTATATTATATGTGTGTGTATATATATATATATATATATATATGGTGGATGGCAATTAGAGTGATATGAAACTGCGTTAAGTACAGTTTAGATGCATCCACCATATATGTGTGTGTATATATATATATATATTGTGTGTGTGTGTGTATTAATATGGTGGATGGCAATTAGAGCGATATGAAACTGTGTTAAGTCTACAGTGTAGATGCATCCAACATATATATATGTGTGTGTGTATTATAAGTGTGTGCATATGTGTGTGTTCATGGTAGATGGCAGTTAGAGCGGTATCAAACTGTGTTAATTCTACAGTATAGAGCATTCACCATATATGTGTGTGTGTATACGTGTGTGTTTATGGTGGATGGCAGTTAGAGAGGTGTGAAACTGCATTAAGTCTGCAGTGTAGATTCATCGATCATATATATGTATGTATATATTATATGTGTGTGTGTCTATGGTGGATGGTAGTTAGAGCGATATCAAACTGCGTTAATTCTACAGTGTAGATTCATCCACCACACACACACACACATGAATATATGTAAATATACATACATATATATGTGTGTGTGTATATAGTGGATGCATCTACACCTTAGAATTAAAGCACTTTGATACCACTTTAACTGCCATCCACCATATACATAAACACACACACACATATATATATATGGTGGATGCATCTGCACTACAGAATCAACGCAGTTTGATACCGCTCTAACTGCCATGGTTCGAAATCCATGGCAAAGCAAGTAGCTTTACAAAAACAATGCACAAGGAATAGAAATATAATTACTATCATGATGTTATATAAATAAATAAAATAATTAAATAAATATATATATTAAATAAATAATAAATATATATATTAAATTATATATATATTAAATATATATTGTTATATAAATAAATAAAAATATATAATATATATTTAGATAACTGTCCATTATTTAAAATAACTATTAGAGATAATAATAACATTTCTTTTCTCTCTTTTTTTGGATGCTCTTTTCAGAAACATAAGAGTATTTTAGAAAAAAAGTTTACTAGTACCGTATTATTGTAATAGTTCCAAGCACCAAAATAGTGCTGCGCTCTAGAACGCTACATTACGGTAGGAAGAAGGCGGAGGTCTGCTCACTGCGCATGCTCACTCGCCTCCCTCCCTTGAGCCGTCACTCGCTATTTCCTCCAACAGGGCGCCATAGTCTTCTTTCGCGCATGCGTACTGCTTACCCTCTGCTTGGCTTCGCCCTCCTCCCTCCCCAGCCGATGATGAGGTCATAATGAGGGGCACGTGACCGCGAGGCTACTTCTTGCGCAGGCGCAGCGGCGGTGGCAAGGCCGTCCTCCCGGAAGTGGTTGCGTAGAAGGGTTTCTGCCGTCTCCAGGGAAGCAGGAAGCGGGCTGAGTGCGGGCGGACCTCGGTCTCCGAGGAAAGGCGGCCATGGCGGCCTTCGACACGAACCCCTTTGCGGACCCGGTGGAAGTGAACCCCTTCCAGGTAGGCAAGGCTAGGCTTCAGAGGGAGACCTTTCTCGCTAGGCCTCAAATGAGGGGGTTATTTCCCCAGGCCATAAATTGAGGGGACTGTCTTTCACTAGGCCCTCAAATGAGGCCTAGGCCAACTTGGGCAATTTTGGGATATATACACACACTAATATGCAGGCAAGGGCAAATTTGGGCCCTCCCTCCAGGTGTTTTGGACTCCAACTCCCACAATTCCTAACAGCCTACCCAAAAAAAGCCAAAAAACAAAAATTACATTACAACGCCTGTGCAAACCCATATATATATAAGCCTCGTGGGAATGGGCCTTGGTGGCACTGTTCTACAGTGGCTCAGGTCCTTCCTAGAGGATCGTACCCAGAAGGTGTTGCTGGGGGACAACTGCTCGACCTCACAACCATTGTCTTGTGGGGTCCCGCAGGGTTCAATATTGTCCCCCATGTTGTTTAACATCTACATGAAGCCGTTGGGAGAGATCATCCGGAGTTTCGGGGTGCGGTGTTATCTGTACGCAGATGATGTCCAACTCTGTCACTCCTTTCCACCACTACTAAGGAGGCTGTTCAGGTCCTGAACCGGTGCTTGGCCGCTGTATCGGACTGGATGAGGGCTAACAAATTGAAACTGAATCCAGACAAGACAGAGGTACTCCTGGTCAGTCGAAAGGCCGAGCAGGGTATAGGGTTACAGCCTGTGTTAGACGGGGTCACACTCCCCCTGAAGACGCAGGTTCGCAGCTTGGGTGTGACCCTGGATTCTTCGCTAAGCTTGGAACCCCAGGTTTCGGCGGTTTCCAGGGGAGCATTTGCACAATTAAAACTTGTGCGCCAGCTGCGCCCGTACCTTGTGAAGTCTGACTTGGCCACGGTAGTCCACGCTCTGGTTACATCCCACATAGATTACTGCAACACGCTCTACGTGGGGTTGCCCTTGAAGACTGCCCGGAAGCTTCAGATGGTCCAGCGCGCGGCAGCCAGGTTGCTAACGGGAGCGGCACTCAGGGAGCACACCACTCCACTGCTGAGCCAGCTCCACTGGCTGCCAATCTGCTACTGGGCACAATTCAAGGTGCTGGCTTTAGCCTATAAAGCCCTAAACGGTTCTGGCCCCACTTACCTCTCCGAACGCATCTCCACCTATGAACCGACTAGGACACTAAGATCGTCCGGAGAGGCCCTGCTCTCGGTCCCGCCTGCGTCACAAGCGCGTCTGGCGGGGACGAGGGACAGGGCCTTCTCGGTGGTGGCCCCTTGGCTATGGAATGCCCTACCCGTAGACATCAGACAGGCCCCTTCGTTGCTGGCGTTCAGGAAGAAGGTCAAGACGTGGCTCTATGAACAAGCGTTTGGTTAAACAGTGCAACTAAACTCAGGAAGACGGTATAATCGAACATAGGAATGGTATAAGGATTTTGAGAACGGATTCTGATTTTATTGAGGCGTTGATAGGATAATTGATTGTTGTTTGTCTGTTGTATATGATGTGTTTTAATCACTTGTTATTGTTATGATAATTTGTACTGTGTAAACCGCATTGAGTCGCCGATTTAGGCTGAAAAATGCGGTATAGAAATAAAGCAAATAAATAAATATGTATATGCGTTGCTTTATATATATATATATATAATATGCGCTCAACCACGCATATACACAAATATATGCATACATACAAAATACATATATGTGTGTGTGTATCCCAAAATTGCCAAAGGTTCTAATCTGTGATGAGATACAGATAGATAATCTCCCAAAATTACTACTAATAATAATAATAATAAAAATAGGCCCTGAAAAGAGTGGGCGTTTACTCCTAAGCCTTAAATCAGGCCTAGGCCAACTTGGGCATTTCAGGTGTTTTGGACTCCAACTCCCACAATTCCTAACAGCCAGTAGGCTGTTAGGAATTGTGGGAGTTGAAGTCCAAAACACCTGGAGGGCCAAAGTTTGCCCATGTCTGCATATTAACGTGTGTGTACATATCCCAAAATTGCCACATATCACACCCTAATCTGTGATGAGATACAGATAGATAAATCTCCCAAAATCAGTAGTAGTAGTAAGTAGTAGTAGTAGTAGTAGTACTAGTAATAGGCCCTGAAATGAGGGGTCGTTTACTCCTAAGCCTTAAATCAGGCCCTGGGCCCACTTGGCACATCCCTCCCTCCAAGTGTTTTGGACATCCAGTAGGCTGTTAGGAATTGTGGGAGTTGGAGTCCAGAACACCTGGAGATAGAGGGGGCCCCAATTTGGTCCAAGCCTGCATATTAGTGTGTGTATGTAAATAATAATAATAATAAACTTTATACCCTGCCACCATCTCCCCAAGGGGACTTGGGGCGGCTTACAAGAGGCCTAGCCCAACAATAAAACAATGCAAATAAACAGCATACAATGACAGTAAAATATGAAAATAAAATGCAAGAAACAATATAAATAAGCATGAACAATAAAAATCACAGTAATTTAAACACAAGAAAATAAATCACAGTGGGCAGGGCCGATAGCAAGGATCAAAAGTTTAAAACACTGGATGAGAAGGCAATGTATTGTATCTGGACAGGGGATCAGAGGGACGAAAGTAGGGTTTAATTGCAGTAGTAGGTAGAAAATAAAATGCTTCTGAGGACAATTATTTTGCGGGGTTTGGTCAGGTCAGAGGTTATAGTTCAATCAATCATTACTGGAAGGCACACTGGGACAGCCAAGTTGTCAAGCTCTTCCTAAAGACTGCCAGGGTGAGAGCTTGCCTAATTTCTCTGGGGAGCGAATTCCAAAGTCAAGGGGCCACCACAGAGAAGGCTCTCTCCCTTGTCCCCACAAGTCACACTTGCGAAGGAGGCTGGAGCGCAAGAAGGGTCTCTCTGGGAGATCGAAGCGATTGTGTAGGTTCACAAAAGGTAATGGTATATATCCCAAAATAGCCAAAAGTTCTAATCTGTGATGAGATTACAGATAGATAAATCTCCCAAAATAATAATAATTATTATTAATAATAATAATAATAATAATAAACTTTATTTATACCCCGCTTCCATCTCCCCAGTGGGGACTCGGGGTGGCTAACATGGGGCCAAGCCCAAAGATACAATACAGCAAAATAAAATAAAATACAAAACTACAAAAAATTACAACACAATGAAATAAATAAACAAGATAAAATAAACAGTGCAAAACAACGTGATGACAAGTCAAACATCATGAGCGGGCCAAATGCACAAGAAAAAATCATAATAGATAATATGGGCCAAATGCACAAGACAAAATGATAATTACTAAAATTTGATTTTAGTAATGAGACGCTGAGGATTTATACTTTTTGTCAGTTTTATTGTATTTTATCTAATGTTACTTATGCCAAATGTTTTAATTGTTTTTATGTTATTGTAGGCATCAAATTATGCCTTTTGTAAACTTCCCTGAATCGCCCTCGGGCTGAGAAAGGCGGTATATAAATGTAGTTAATTAAAAAAAATTAAAATCCTGGATGAGAAAGGAGTAAAAAGTGTATTTGTGAGAGAAGAGCCAAGCAAGGGTTGAGATCGGCCCTTCATTAAGGACGGGGGGAAAGTGCATCATGAGGACAACACTGTGGGTGGAACAACAGAAATAAGATGTATGGTCACTCCCCAAAGGCACATCAGAAGAGCCAAGTTTTCAGATCTTTCTTAAAGGCTAGGGTGGGGGCCTGCCTAAGCTCACCAGGTAGTGAGTTCCAAAGCCGGAGGACCACTGCTGAGAAGGCTCTCTCCCTCGTTCCCACAACTCGTGCCTGTGATAGAGGAAGGGGCGGAAGGAGGGCCTCCCCAAAGGATCGAAGGGATCCAAATCCTGTAGGCTGTTGGGAATTGTGGTAGTTGGAGTCCAGAACACCTGGAGGGAGGGTCCAAATTTGCCCAGGCCTGCATATTAGTGTGTGTGTGTGTGTGTGTGTGTATATCCCAAAATTGCCAAAGGTTCCTTTCAGATACACTACATTGCTCATCTCACCCAGTGTTTTTAAACTTTTTAATCTTTGCAACTGGTCCTGTCCATTGTGTTCAGTTATTGTGATTTTATATTGCACTGTGTGTTTACTTTGTATTGTTTTTTATATTATTTTCATTATATTTTATTTATTTACATTATTTCTATCCCGCCCATATTAGCCCGAAGGCGACTCAGGGCGGTATTTTATTGCTGTTTATTTGCATTGTTGTAATAGTTGGGCTTGGCTTCATGTAAGCCGCCCTGAGCCCCCCCCCCCCTTTATTATTATTATTATTATTATAGATTCTGGGGAGCCCTTGCTCTCGATCCCACCTGCCTCACAAGCACGCTTGGCGGGGACGAGAGACAGGGCCTTCTCGGCTGTGGAATCCCTTCCCAGGGATATTAGATCGGCCCCCTCCCTACTGACCTTTAGAAAACGAGTGAAAACTTGGCTCTTTGAGCAAGCGTTTGGAGCTGCAGCGTGACTAGTTAACACAAAATCATAATACGAACATGGAACGGCTAAGACTTTGTAAACGGATGAGGAATTTGGATTGATAGACATTGGTTTTGTATTGTTTTTTATAGTTTTATAGTTTTTATGGATGTTATATGTATTTATGATGTGTTTTAATTGTTTTTCAATTGATATATGTATTTTTATTTGGCATCTAATTGTTGCTGATCTATACGCCACCCTGAGTCACCTTCAGGCTGAAATGGGCAGGATATAAGTGTTGTAAATAAATAAATAAAGATTCTAATCTGCGATGACATACAGATAGATAAATTGCCCAAAATTACATAAATTGCCAAAGGTTTACGTCTGAGATATATACAGTGTGTGTGTGTGTGTATATGTGTATATATGTGTGTGTATATGGATATCTGAGCCTCCGGTGGCACAGTGGTTAAACCACTGAGCTGCTGAACTTGCTGACTGAAAGGTCGGTGATTCAAATCTGGAGAGTGGGGTGAGCTTCTGCTGTTAGCACCAGCTTCTGCTGACCTAACAGTTCAAAAACAT